ACGGATTGTGATGTTCAACTGAAAATATTTATTCAATATGTTGACGTTCGATGCTCGCCGCTTGGTCGATTTCGAGCGATCTGCGCTGGTGTGTGTGCGTGTGAGCCGCCGCACGGGTGCGCCTGTGTGGGTGAGTATCTGTGTAAAAGAGCGCGCACTTTTCGGCCAAAAGCGAGGCAATGTTGTTGCTACTTGCGTTTATTTTGGAATTGCAGTCGGTGCTCAATTTACGCCAAGAAGAGAACCAACAAATTGTGCGAGTGTTATATGTGAGCTTGTACACTGCGCGAAACCACTTAAAAGGTAGATTGCATGTTTGCTCAAATTTAACATTTATTATGAAATTTTTTTTTAATTGATTCGCTTCTAGGTTTAGGGTTTTTTTTATCGAAATAGGCGTAAACTATTCAAAAATATATTTAAATTAATGAATTGTAATTACTATGGACGGCAGAACATGTAGTTGACAATTCCCACCAAGAGCGTGTGCATGGGAAACTATTATATATAGCCGCAGAATAGAAAATCTGCTGGGATGGTCCGATGGTATCATAAATTAATTGGTTCAGAGAAAAGGCGGTGAATGTGACATACTAAAATTTTTTTAAGTGAGTTCTTGGGCACGGGTTTGTAAAATATTCCTCTTTTTTAGCACAATTTAAATTTTGTTGGAAATACGCATCGAATGACACCAACAATTTGCTTGGATCCGATGATCCGTTCAAAAGTTAATCAATAACACCTTTTTTTTTGTATAGCTCAAAATGGAATTCTTTTAAATATTCCCATTCGGCGCGCTGAGATTAAAAATGCCTGTGTAGGCAAAATAGGAATGGAAATATTAAAAAGTGTATTTATTAAGTCGAAAGTTTATTCACTTTTCGTCACAAAAGGTGCGTTAAAAGGTGTTTTTGTTTGATACAATCTCCACAATCGAAAGCTTAATAAACAGTGATTTTCTAAATAAAAAGGATGTTCTTCTCAACATTTGTTGTTTGCTTGATTGTACTTTTTCAAAATGTTATATATGGTTGAGCTGTTGGATTATGAACTCATGAAATATATATGTATAAAACTTGTATTGTACTTCTAATGTTGTATCTTCTTTAGTTTTTTGTACATCGAATATTTTGATTTAATAATGTTAACTAGTTTTAAAAATTATAGTCATTTATTTTAAACAGAAATACTATATATGTACATATAGTTGATAACGTTACTGTTTTGTATTTCCAGTGTAAACGAAAGCACCGCAGTCGAACACACAGTACATTATTCTCGCACAATAATAACCGGCGCCTGCGCCTTTTTTCTTTGCTCTTGCTGCCTCTCTTTCACGATCCTTTCTTTGGGGCTTTCACCTGCCCCATGTAAGTGTATTGGTGCTCAGCCATTTAGAATCGCTCATTTTCATACTGGCTATTTTTGAATATTTCCCCTTATTTTGAAAAGCTTTCCTGACCCAGTATTTTGGCCATTGCAAAATAATTCCAATACTTAAGCAATCATTTCTCTTTTTCTAATGAGAGTGTATGGGTTAGTGGATCTTTTTGTTTTGCTTTTTGATGTTCTCGACTTCTATTTTTAATTTTCAGTTATTGATATGCCAAAAAATCTTGTTTCACGTAGTTTATATGTATTTCCACCATATGTCTACATAATATTATTTTTTTTTCTATATGTTAAAAGCGATATCTATAGATTTTTTACCGTCATGTCTGGGAACGGAAAACATTTTGTTGGCAATCATTAATGTCACATATGAAAGTATACTTTTTGTAACTGTCTCTGATGAAAACTCACAGATGATTCATGCGTTTTTAAACGCAAAACGTGAATATTGCTGCAATGCAATTTCCTAAAGATCGTTGTAGATCTCATATTGCGGTATCTCTGCCCTTGAGGAATTCTTTTCAGCTTCTTAATCACAAATATTTTATCTTATTTTTAATCATTTGCAAATTGATAAGAACTATATCTGATCCGGCTATATCTTTGCCTCTGTAGATTGCTATTCCACTTTCGAACCACAATTAAGTTATCTTATTTGTAATAAAATTAGTTATTGTTAGGAAAAGTTTTATTTTTAACCTAAAAGAAAGGCGAAAGGATATTTTAATTCATACCGTAAATTCAACCTATTTACTTTAGTTTGTTAGAAAGAAATTAAACACTCTCAGCAAATTGTCGAAATGTTTTATATAAAAATCTAAAGAATTGGGCCGGGTTCCCTAATAAGTTTATAAATTTGCATTATGGGGCTTTAATGAGGTTTTAATCATTGTTGCTTTCTTTATTTATAATTTCCATAGATATTTTTAATGCCATATACTGAATGCAACCAAAGACAGATATAAATATAAGCCAATTTGATATCTGCATATGTATGTATTTACTCTTTGCCCTCTTATTTTTTTTATCATGGAACAAATTATTTCGGTTTTGGCACGTCGAGGCTGTTGAAAAGTTTAAAATTAAAACAAGCAACACCCACAGTATGACGTAATAGTTTTCATTCAAAACAAAAAGTTTTGAGAAAAGAAAAATACACGAATATATTTTCATATTTACAAATATATAACTGGGTGAAGAAGAGATAGGCATGAGAAAGACCCTTGAGAAATCGTTGAAAAAACATTGTAAAACAGCGAATCAGTCTAAGCAACTTGCTAAATACGAAAACGAAATCATGGCCGTAGCTGTTAACATTTTGTTAGTTATGGAAAACCAAAGTTTTCATAATTCCAAAATATACGCGAATAAAATAAGTTCATGAGTGTGTAGCGCTCAGCTTGGATCAGACAAGTGCTCAATCTTGTTAGAAAAATCGCGACCATATTTGGCGAAAATAGAATGAAAAGTGCAATCAGGCCTGCGGGGCATAGACGACTAAGCAGCAGGTCACTTAGACGAAAGACTAAACAGAAATGATTAAAGATACCACTTTTTTATGATGATAAATGGATATAAATTCTAGAGAACAAGATAAAAATGTTGCATTATATTTGTGATGGGAAAAATTGAAAATGAAACAGACCGATTTAAATTTGTTAATATATAATTTTGATATGAGAATAATGATAATAATAACATGAATTTAAAAGAAATGCGATTTATTTGGCAAAGAAACTAAAATACAGGCTTATAAATAGATTTTTAGTTTTATGAAAAATAACTCTCAATAGTTCTTAAAGTAATAAGGAAAATACTAGTATTATATCAAGAAATTAAAAAATTTTAAAATAACAGAGTTTTTAGGAATCATAATGTATTTTTTATAAACTTAAACTTAAAATTAAATCTTTTAAGTGAGAAAGCTCCCTTTTTGTTCATATCTGATGATGCCCACGGTTTTCATGTACATAAATCCAATAAATTGACCATTAAATAATATAAATTATTTCTTCCATGCAGATCTGGCAGTCTAATGCTCGCTGGAACGAGAGTAGGGTGCATCGGAAAATGAAACATAATCTGTGGGGGGGAGGCGTTTGGGGTGTGTGGGACTAGCCCAGTCTCAGGGGCCCCCGATGACTCAATTGGCGCCGGCTCCTTGTGAATGAAGCGACGCGAACTGGTTGGAGCTCTGGGCACCAAAAGGAAATCTTCGCTGCGAGCTACTTGCCTTGCCCAAGCCTGCAATTGGCCAAGGTGAACCAGATCGGATGTCGTGTGCATGTGCATTTGAACAGCGTTTTGGCGCTCTTCGACATTGTCAGTGTCAATTATTTGAGAATCAAAGAGACGTCGGGACCTTGAACTTATCGCCAAGTCTAATGCAAATGATGATTAAAAGGCGTGCGCCGGTAAACAATTGCTTTTTAGAAATTTTTAGAAATTGCACGCGCGCTGGCAGATCACACAAATCTTTTAATTTTAATTCAAGGGCAACTATTTTAATAGGGTCGGCACGACAGCTGCACAAAGAAAATGGACATTGAGATATATTGTGTGTAGTTTGCAGAATATAAAAAAGTATACTGAGTGTGTCAATGTGAAAATAACTAAATAGCTTTAACAGAATTCAAAGTCGGTGTTTTATTGCACGCAAAATGGCATTATTATGTCACTAAAACGCGGATTTTAATGCAAGTTTTTATTTAACAAGTATACGAGAAATATATAAATTAATTTAATCTTATGCAACAAGATAGAAAGCAAACTTCGGCAGCCCTTGCAGCTATTTCAAAAATTAAATATTTTTTTAAACCATCTAATTTTTTTGTTTATATTTTTAAAAGCATTGCTCATTCAGCTCAATTATTCAATAGTTCCTGTGGCAGCTATGAAGTTATGAAATTAAAAGCGTTATTCTGAATTGGTAAACAATTACAACGTCCTAAAAAAATTAAAACAAAAAATAGAAGCAAACATTTTTTGTTTACTAATTTTTTAAATATTGCGATTGTTTCCATGGGAATTATATAATAAATCGTCCGATTTTAGTCAAATTAGTAATTCTAACATAATAAACCATAGCTATATTTTAAAGAATTTTTTTAATTTCTTTCCCCCTTCGGTCCTATAAGAGCTATATGATAGTCTTCTGATCGGGCACGTTCCGACTTATATAACATCTTTTAGGAAAGTTTTATACAGATAGCCTTAAAACAGAGAGCGAAGTTGGCATAAAACCGGACAGTCAACGGACGGACATGGCTACTTATGCTGATCAAGAAAATATATACTTTATAGGGTCGGAGATGTCTCCTTCATTGCGTTGCAAACTTCTAACTGAAATTTTAATACCGCCTACAAGGGTATAACAACAATAAACTGTTTACAATTTTATGAACTTTATAATGGTATAGAAAAAAAAAGAGAAAGATTTAAGAAAAAATAAATAAATAAAAAAATAAAAGGTAAGCAATCAGAATGGTCTGGGTCTTGAATTCCAACAAAAATATTTGGAAAAACCGTTTTATTTATATAAGCTGCAAGAGTTTAGATAAATTTTGTGTTCATCCCTAAACGCTATCGATATTTAGCCGGCGAAAGAGCAATGGTAGAAAGGCCACACTTAACAAAATGTCATAACAACAATGTCGTTCATAGAAAAATTAAACTACTATAGTAAACGAAAATCATTTAAATATGGCATACCCTTCCTCATCATGATGGTGGCCGGCTCCTTTGGACTGCAGCAGTTCTCGAACCTCAGGTTAGTACTTCGGTAACAACGAAAAATCCTTATCAGAGTCATGAGCTCAAAACTTTGCAGGTATCAGTACACGAAGAAGCAACCGGTGACGCCGGAGGAGATGAAAAAGTACGGCGTGAACATGAAGAACCGCCAGGAGGTGACGCTGGAGTCGGAGTATGACAAAGTCAAGTCGGTGGATATAGACCACTGGGAAAACAAACGCGGACCACGTCCCTGGGAGGAAGAGGGCCAGCCCTCGACTGCAAAACACTAGACATTATGTTTTCCGAACATACACACTTGTTAAAAGCAGACTGTTTTGCTTGTTGTACAATGTACATAGTCATAATTGAATAAATATAAACAATTTTTAATTTCATATGCTTTGGACACATACCAAAACAATACCCTGTAATGCATCGATAATTTTCAGTATTTTTTTCTAGCCGATAGTCCAATGCGTGGCTCTACGGTCACACTTGTCATAATATATTGTATTTTGCAATAAAATAAAATGGGAGAAGTAAAACCCGCTAAAGTGGAAAACTATAGCGCGGGGACCGACGCAAATACGCTGTTTGTAGATGGTAAGCCCCGAACTTTGACCCATCCACAAATTGCTCTAATTGTATTGATGCCTTCCACAGGGGAACGGGTTCTGTGCTTTCATGGCCCGCTCATTTACGAAGCGAAGGTGCTGAAAACAAAGCCCGATGCGACGCCGGTTGAGTACTACATCCACTACGCGGGCTGGAGCAAAAAGTAAGGAAACTGATCTGCAGAATACCGAAAAACAATAATCCCCGCCTCATTTTCAGCTGGGACGAGTGGGTGCCAGAGAGCCGAGTGCTGAAGTACAACGATGACAACGTCAAGCGCCGACAGGAGCTGGCGCGCCAGTGCGGCGAGCGCTCTAAGAAGGATAATAAGAAGGGTGGGTGTTCAGGCGCAGTTTCAGAAGCAATCGACTAAACCCATTTGTACAATAGGCAGCGCAAAGGCCAAGAAAATGGAGCAAATGCGCAACGAATCTCGTGCATCAACGCCATCAAAGGACAGCAACACCTCGCAATCGACCGCTAGCAGCGCACCGACGGTTCCGGGCAACAAATCGGACGCCGGAAGCACCAGCAGCACGACCACTAACAGCACTAGCACCACTACGACCAGTCGGGCCAACCGCAAGTCCACACAGTCGGCGGCGGCCACAGCTCGGCCCGGAACACCCAGTGAGAAAAAAGAAGATGCCGCCGCCGCAGAGACCACAGAGGACGAGGCAGTCACGCCGGTGGCGCCGAAGAAGAAAAGGATGAGCGAACAGCGGCCTTCTCTAACTGGCAGCGATGTGGCAGACAAGACACCGGCGCCCACCACCACGCCATCCACACCCACCACGGAGCCCGCACCTTGTGTGGAAAGCGAGGAGGCCTACGCCGCCAAGCTGGAGGTCAAGATCAAGATACCTGACGAACTGAAGCACTATCTGACCGACGACTGGTATGCTGTGGTGCGGGAACACAAGCTGCTGGAGCTGCCCGCCAAGGTTACTGTGCAGCAGATCTCCGAGCAGTATTTGGCGCACAAGAAGTCAGTGAAGTCGACCAGTGCCAGCAAGGAAGTGGCCATAAACGATGTGCTTGATGGCATTGTAGAATACTTTAATGTTATGCTCGGCTCCCAGTTGCTGTACAAATTCGAGCGCACCCAGTACGCGGATGTGATGCAGAAACATCCGGACACACCGCTGTCCGAGCTGTACGGATCCTTTCACCTTCTCCGCCTGTTCGTACGGCTGGGATCAATGCTAAGCTATTCAGCGTTAGACCAACAGTCAATGCAGAATCTGCTCGTACACCTGCAGGATTTCCTCAAGTTCTTGGTGAAGAATAGTGCCATGTTTTTCAGCATGAGCAACTTCATTAACGTGGACCCCGAATACGTGCGAAATGCACAGTAGGCAATCATCTCTCTTTGACTTGAAGTAAATATTTCATCCAAACAATTTGCAATAATTCAGTAGTTGCTTCTAACAACTGGTTTGTAAATTAAAACACAAGTAACAATGTTTTGTAATAAGCTAATGGTAATGCTAATAAAATGTCAGCACCTTGTAAAAATTAGTTATTCGGCTTCGTTTTTGCTTCTTCATCATCGTCCTCACTTTCTGCCTCGCTACTACTACTGCTGCTGGTGGGATAAAAGTCTTTTAGATCCCTGGGCTTATTCTTTTCCTGCTGCTCCTGCTCCAGGTACTCATTCTGCACTTTGACAATCTCATCGCTGCTCTTGCAGGCTGCATATGCGTTAAGGAGCTTTTCATTTAGTTCCAGGAAGGCGTGACCCCAGGAAAACTTGCCCAGAAACCAGCGGGCCTCCTCCGGGAACCCACAGATGTACAAAGTGGCGGCAATGGCTTCGACGCAGCTGAGTTTGCAGGGCTTGCCATAGTTGATGGGATTGGCGGCAACCAGGAAGGGAAGCAGTCGGGGATGTGGGCTACGCATTCTTCCAAAGGGAGTTTCGTCCAGCTTGGCCCACGAGCAATCGATCACAGCCACGCCCGAAGAGGACACCACATCTCGATCCAGGGGACTGACACACAACTGCCCGACGGGCGAAAGGACAAGTCCGGGAAACTTCTGGCCCAGTCGGAGGTTTGAAATCAGTCCCAGGCGCGCCAATTTCCTGCCCGAGCACTTCTTCGGATCGCAGTGGTTGAGGTCCCACATGGCCACCGCAAACTCCGGCGGCTGGCCGAGATTATCCTTGGCACCCCCTCCCGAGGATTCCGAATCCGAGCTGTCGCCTTCGGTGCTGCTGGCCAATTCGTTGGCCTGCTGGGCAAAGTTGCGATCGCAATTGTGATTCGCTTTGACATTGCGATAGGGTCCTGTGCTTCTCTTGCCTTTTCCCCGGTTCCGGGCACTCATTCTGTTCGACTTAATCCCAAAAATGAACAAGTAAATCAAATGTTTTTCAATAACTCGTGGTGGCTGCTCACCCGCCTTATATTTACTAATTTTGATAACTTTGTAAGGTGGCGCAATGAATTGTAAACGTATCTGACGTCACATTTATTGAGAAAAAATAATTATTTTTAGGGGTTTTCGGCCAAGCATGAGTGTTTTGATATAATAATATGTTTTTTTATTGTATTTATTTAATTAAAATTATTAAATCAATTTATGTTGTGCATAATAATACAAATTCTTAAGGTTTTAATTCAGTTTTTATTGATTGACATGTAGCTTTAGGTCTGAACGTTGGAATTAAATTCATAAAAATTGTTTTTTCTGATAACAGGGACGCATATCTAGGCCAAATACACTAATAATATTGCATACATTTTTAAAATTCCGTGTTAACGGTTTCTAGCCTTGCGTCACCTTAACAACGCGATGTCTGGAAGTGCTGTTATCGCATGCCTATCGATAAGTGTCAAGTGTAACTCTGTCACGATGAATGGAAAAGAATATGGCGACCTGACTCTGGAAAAAAATTAGAATTTGTCCGGCAAAAGTAGTGTGCAATACGAAGAAATGTATGTATTAAATGTTCAAATGCCCGTTGCTGACGCGTTAAATGTGTTGCAATCAAAACAAAGTTCGTTAAGAGAACTACATGGTCAAAGTGAAGTTGTGTGCCCTAAAAACCCATTGTTGTGTGATGAGAAGAGGCGCGCCAAAAAGGCCAAAATAAATGCCATCAACGAAAGATGCCCAATGTAGTTTAGGCAAAAACATTATTGGCCTACAGACAATTGGCAATTGAATAGAAATAATAAAAGAAAGCCTGACGACGCGCACAACGCACACCCGTGCAAGCGACGCAGGCACACGTACACAGGCGTATATCGATATTTGCGAGTTGCATTTCGCGCCGTGGCGGCAGCACAAAATAAACTGAATAACCGAAAATCAAATGGCGTTCATTTGAAAACAACGTCCGGGAATACCGCTCTCACTAATTGTTTCTGTTTTGTTTCTTTCTCGGCCTTCCCTTTGGATTGTTTCCTGTTCCAATTCGCGCCTTCCGATTCTTTACCCCTGCCGGAGTACAGTTGCGCCTGGAAGCCAGAGCAAGCAAAACTACGGGAGGCTAACAATACGGAAAAGGAAAAACAGGCTCTTGCCAAGGACACAGCAGCATCGGCGAGATGGGCGAAGTCAAGTCCGTGAAGGTGGACAACTGGGGCGTCTTCTTTCTGCAGAAGCTGCAGAACTTTTTCAACAAGACGGACTACTGCGATTTGACGCTCCAGTTCCGGGACAATTCACAGCTGAAGGTGCACCGCCTGGTGCTCAGTGCCTGCACAGACTACTTCAATGTGCTGGAACAGACGTGCGAGATTGTCGATGATGCCCTCATCATGCCCAACGAGTTCCAGGCGGATGTGGTGGTCCCCATTGTCAACTTCATGTATACGGGCACCCTGGAGTTTGAGCTCAAGATGTACGGCAAGCTTTTACGTACCGCTAAGGAGATGAACATGACGGTGCTGCTCAAACTGCTGGAAGCACATCGTCGTACCATGGAGAACGTAAATCGCCAGCAGAGGGTAAGTAGAGTTATTCACGTTCGGCTTATTTATTTTAATATACGTTTTCCTTTTAGCCGCCTAGTCCCAAGGGCATTCGCCGACGCACTGTTGGACAGCCCACTTCGGGCCTTCCGCAACAACGTGTCCTAGGTCCATCTCCGCAGTCCCGGAGTGTTGGAACACCCACTATGCAGCGGGCCAACACACAGCGCGGACCTACTGGCAACACAATGATCCGGACCTCGGGCGGCACAACTCGTTCACAGTATGCGGAGACCACTGCTGTCAAGCAGGAGCCAACCTCGCCATTCGAACAGCTGCGCAAGGGATACAACAACAATAAGAGACCCGCACAGACCAGTCTGCTGTCGCCGCCCTCGAAAAAGCCCAGTTTGGAGGAGGTCAAGGAGTTTGCCGAGCAACAGCGGATGCGTAAGCAAATAGCCGCGGAATACGGCGATCACGATCCTGAATACGACGGTGGCATGCTGTATGATGATGTCCATGCCGGTGACGATGATGACGATGATCTGCCGCTACAGCCATCTACATCAAAACAGCAGTCACCGCAGGGCACACAGACCCAGCTTGAGCATGGATCCACGACCATTATACTGAAGCAGGACTCGCCCAGTCAAACCCCGACGATAATTGTGAAGGATTCCTCCAATGCCAAGCTGAATCACACAAAGATCATTGCTGAAGTGCTGCGCCAGTATCCACACATTGTAAAGGGCCACAAGAACATCAAACTTAAGATAATGCCGAACACACCACCTGCGTCCGCAGAAAAATCTGCACCGGCGACAGTCAAGCGTGGATCACCAGCACCGTCGACTCAGTCATCCGCTTCCACATCGCCCCATAAGAAGCTCCATGTATCATTTAAGGCGGACAAGAACGCTCCCCTAATAACCCCCCAGCAGAAGGCGGCCAGTTCTCCACAAAAAACCGCGCCCACGCAGTCTATCGCTACGCAAGGGACGGCGACGAACCCACCTGTTAATGCAGCCGCAGCGCAGAAGCGACGCATTGACAGTAAGACAATGCATGCCTTGATTGCTCAAGGAGCCGAGAATACCACTGGTGAGTTGATTCGTTTTGTTACCACATGGTTAGATGTAGGGAATATTGTAAGAAAATCTTGCCGAAATCGAGCCAATTATTTGATCTGAACATTTATTTCTGCCCGCTAATAAGGAATTTCTTTATTATTTTAGGTCCATGGCTGTGCCTAAGATGCGGGGTAAACGGACGTCCCATCAGCATTCCGTCTTACCGAGGCTTCCGACGCCATTTAATAAACACGCACAAGGAGACCATTGACCCGGCGCTCTGCGAGCACTGCGGCTGGAGGTCGAGCAACAACCGGGCGCTGCATTTCCATATGTATACGGATCACCAGGTCAAGTCGCTGCTGTACACCTTCGCCGAGTGCGCGCTATGCAACCAGTCTTATCTGACCAAGGGCGAGTTGGAGACCCACATCAACGAGGCCCACACCGACGACAACAAGCAGCAGTGTATCTACTGCAACAAGGTGTTCGAGCAAGAGCTTCAGTTGTACAGGCATATGAAGAGCTACCACAAAGAGCAGGCCCTGGAGGATGGTATCATTGATGAAACGGACGAGGAGTTCCTCGGCTCTCAAGACGAGGAAGAGGAGGAGGCCGAAGGAGAGGAAGAGCAGGAACCCGAGCAGACTGGCAAAGTGCGAATCCTTTCGGACATCAGTCTGCCAGCAACCAGTGCCATCGCGGTGCAGCCAGTTCAGCAGGAGCAACTGCAGGAGGAGGATGTGGACCACGAGCAAGTGCAGCAGGAGGTGAAGTTTGTGGGCGCCGATGGTAATGAAGTGGAGCTTACGGACGAGCAGCGCAAGGAAATCCTCTCACAGCTCAACCAGCAGCAAGCAGGCGCCGCTGCCGGCGGCGTGGTAATGGTGCTCAGTGAGCCAGAAGCGGAGCCCGTGAAGCAGGAGACCGACGAAAAATCGCTGGCCGGCACCGAAGAGGAGTATGATGACAGTCAAATCTATACCGAGCTGGCTGCCGCCGACTCTGTGGAGAGCGCCAAAAAGAGCATTGCAGATGAAAGCAAGGAGTCCATGGATAATCTGGAATGGGCAGAAAACCTAATTGCCGAGTCCGAGGAGCAGAGCAACAAGGAGGTGAGTTCAGCCAAATTTTGTTCTACAAGGGTTTCTCTGAAAATTTGTAATTTGCAGCCTAAATTGGAAAAGTCACGAGATGACATCAGCGAAAAGCTTAAGGAGTTGACCGGTGACTGGACCGAGGATGAGAACGAAGACGATGCCGACGACCAGCCCGCAACCACAGAGCTTGAATCCGAACTAGCTGCAAAGCATTCAGAGTCAACAGCCAATGAAGAAGAAGAGGACGCCATTGACTTGGCTCTCCAGTCTCTTCACAAAGGACATGAAGATCAAGCTGTAGCGAAAACTAATGAAGATTTGATCACCAGTGCCGAAGAAGCTGTAATACCATCGGCTAGTACAAATAGCCAACCCGAGAAAATGGATGTAGACTCGGAAGCGGTGAACGAAAAGGATTCAAAGTCAGTCGTGACGATCAAGAAAGAGAAAGGGATTGAGAACGAGGAAGAAGAATTTATCAAGGAAGATACACCCATCGCGGATCCCGAACCAGAGGTGGAATCAAGCGAAGCGGTAGCTACCGCTGAGGGCGACGACGAGGTGCATCTGGAGGCCGATAACATACGCAAAGAGCTGTTAGATGAACTGATAGCCGAGGCCGAGAAACCTAATCAGGAGAAGAGCAACGTAAAACCTGGAGAGGATTCTACGACAGAGGCGTCAGATCCAGCCTTAGATAGTGCCGTCACGGACGAGGATGAACTGGTGCCTCCTACACAGATGTCCACCGACCATCTGGAGGTGAATGAGCAAGAAGTGGAAAAACCGGCCAAGAATAACGATAACACAAGCACGACGGAGGATAAAGAAGTCATAGAGGACAAACCAAACAAGAGCGGGGATGCATCAGCAGCAGATAGTGCGACCCTTGAATCAGTAGCTGAGGGAACGACGACTGGTGAAGCAGCCAGTGTAGACAAGGTGAAGAGTCTCATTAGCGAATGGGGGGACGATGACGAGGAGGACGAAGATGAGAATGGTGTGAGTGCTGCGGCAAAGGAGGAGCTATAATTACTAGATTTATTTATGTTCTAAGTTCGGCGATTCAAACCAGATCAGCATATAGTACCATCTGAGCTCGGCATGAATTTTTGGTTTCTATTGTAAATTAAATTGTTAACGAAGATTGAGGTGACGATAAGATACGCATATGCACAGGTTTAAGTGTATAAGATCTAATCTACACGTCTCACGTAAGTGTAAATCCCCTCCCATCCCATATATGTTTCGCTGCTAGCATGAAATTCGTAAAACTTGTTGGAGTTACCTTAAATGAGAGATCAGAGACCAAACCACCCAACAAACCAACAATTCGCTATTTATGAGTGTCAGTTTCTTTCACCCCTACGCCACCAATAGAGCAACCAACCAACATTTCACGTTTAGGTAAACAGTTTATATACACCTATATATAGTATACACATATGCCTATTTACATACATATAGATATATGTAGTAACTAGATGTTGTTTTAAATGGTTTAAAACAAAGGCAGGATGTTCGCAGATTAATAAGTAAAATGATTGACGTTTTATGATTGGCTTAGTAATGTTAATCAAAATCAAAAAGGTTACCCTTTTTTTTGATTACCAACTTAAGTGTAAGGTTTATTATACATAATAAAAGCATACAAAAAAAATAACAAATACTTTGGAGAAACAAAATATAAAATGTAGACACAAATGTGTGCTTTAACGTTTTTACTTATTTTACGGCAGATCGATATACAAGAAGCTAAAACAAGATTTTTTGGGAATGCACATAGACGTAGTCTTACATACAACACCTGCTTATATATAAAAGGATCTTATATAAAAAGAGGCTATTTGGGTCACAGCGCAACGAAGATATCTCCAACCGAAATTCCTATTCCTCATCTGGGAATGTGTAAACGAGATGAATCAGCAGAGCACGAAAAAAAAACCAACAAATTATGTTACTTACCAGAAAGATAGAAGTTTATAATGCACATGGTGGCGAAGCCAGCGACTACTGCTGCGAACTGCGAAAATCCCGCCCAGCGACGGATCGGATTCGAGTGCCATCGGGCCTTTTCGCGCGGTATCACTTCGCAGACGGTGACGTAGAAGAGCGTGCCACCGGCCAGTGCCTGGACGATAGGAAGCGTTTTGCTGGACCAAGCGGCGGGTACATCTACGATAAGCATACCTAAGCCAATGCCAATGACAGCCCCCAGGGCAAAAACCGAAACGCCGACGAACTGGGCGCGAAAACTCGTCTGCGGATTGGAGCGGAATTCAAGTCCCAGACAAAAGCCCATCACAAACTTATGGCAGGCGACGGCTCCCAATAGAAAAAGAACCTAAAACGAGACAAAGCAGATTCCGGTTATCTAATTAGACTAAGCCAGCGCGTTTCTCAGCATCAATATTTGCCCAAGATTGCGCACTGTGTCGGACTAGTCTAACTGTGTCAAGGCAGCCGGCGGCTGCACAGACCTTTGTGGACGAGTTCTGGACGCCGATGGCCAGTCCTTCGATGGCCGAGTGCAGGGACAGGGCCACAAAGAGTCCCAGGGTGCCAGTCATGGATTGGACGCAGGGTTCCGTATGGCTGGTGTGGCAAATGCGGGCGTTGGCGTCCTCGACCCTTGCGTCATCACAGCCGGATGCGGTGGACGGGTGATGGTGATGGTCGTGGTCATGATCGCTGTTTGATCGAAGCACAAAGTAATTAGTTGGGGTGTTTGGATGGAAATACAGTCAACCTACTGGTCATGGTGATGCGAATGCGCATGTGACGTAGTCTGGGCTGATAAAAGCGGCGCCCGTTCATCCACTGCGCCATAGCCATTGCCATTGGTGGGACTTATGCGCTCAGTTTCGGGGATCTGGGAATGCGTGTGCTGTATGGCCTCGCCAAAGAAGTAGTGGATGAACTCGTCGATGAAGTAGATAATGAAGAATCCGCCACACATGGCCACCTCAGCGAATTTCGAGTCCATTTGCTCGCGCACCTGTTGCAGTGTCGAATATCAAGTCATCAAATTGCACAGGCACCTGTGAAAAGGTGAACTCACCTCGGGCAGAATGTGAACCAAGGCGGTGGCCAGGAGAATGCCCGCACCGAAGCAGAGGAGCAAGGATGTGGTCAGTGGGAATCGCTGGCGATTCCTTTCCGAAATAATAGCGGGTAGCATTCCGGACAAAAGGCTACCCAGTCCCAGAACCAGCATAGCCAGCACCTTCTCTAGATCGCCACGACTCGTCGTGGCCCCCAAACTGGGGTTCGGCATCATTTCCATGGGTGAAGAGGCGTTCGCCAAGCTCATTGTTTCAGCTGCCAGTGTCAGGCCTTGTCATCAAGAATGGGCCAGTAAACCACACAAAAGTTCGTTGCATTTACTATTTTTAAACTAAACAGGTGGCGGTGTGCTTGCCGTTTTATTCGCACAGAATACCGAAACGCTATGCAAGAATACCGTGACGCGGGTAAAACAATTTAAACACTTCGAGCTCCAGTTTAAGACTGATATCAAGAAGTATTTTTAGTCGCTAAGTTTCGAGCGATCAGCTGGCGTCTCTGCATATTTACGTTACCAGACGGCGGCTAGTTTGAAGTGTTAGGTTTCATGAGAGCCATTCCGTCAGGATCGTTGGACCCATGGCTGGACGATCGTTTGAAAACAAAATTATTATTGGAATAATTATGTTATGTTTAGATAGTTATTAATACATTAAAATTATAAAGCCCGCTCGCTACAGTACCGTAAGAACAGCCTAGATTTTTGGACCATCTAATACCTGGTCACACTTTTTACTCAGAGTTTTACGGAACTTTCTATACAATAAACCCTTCACAAATATACTACATATATATAAGTATATTAGAAAAGCCTCTAAATTTAAAGATATTTTGGGTTTTCCCAAAACGTCTGAATCTCTGAAACAATCCGATTTTATCGATCAAACAGTATAACTCATATCGAGGGAACTGCCTACTCTAAAACCAATATTCTTTTAACATTGTTTTCGAATGTGAAATTTCGAACTCTACGTTTGAACATCCCAATTAAAATAAAAGTGCAAATAGGGCCCATTTCGATAACTGTTATCGACTGTATGTATGTAATGCTCGGGGATTCAAAATTCAAAATTTAACCGTTTCTGTCCTGGTTGTCCGTTAGGAAATGCATCGTCGGTGTATAATCTGTGGCCAGGACCCGGGCGACCACTGCGTCTACCCGCGAAACATGACGGAGGCTCGCCGGTGGCAGAACCTGGCCAATCTCAGCACCTTCGATGTGGACACGGAATCCCTGTGCCGGCACGGCTGCGTGTGCGCCTCCCACTTGGACTTGGCACAAGGATCCAACTCCGACTCGAAGAGCTCGTCTGCTGCTGCTCAGGGGGCAAGTACTAGAGCCGGATCGACGAACTACGACTCCGCAAGCCGACAGTCCGGCGTCAAACGGAGCTCTACGGGATCGGGACATGGGCCGCGGGATGTTCCTAACGCACATAGCTATCCCACAAACAACAAAGCCATCGAGAAGATCCAAAATCAAAGCAAACTGGGTCTCAATTCGGGGAGGCCGGAATCCAGCAACGCAAATAGATGTCAAAATGGCAACTGCCGTTTTCGTGGTGCCGTCAACAACATGTTCCAGGGTAATACCAATACCTGCACCCAAGTGGGGCAGAATTACAGGAGTCCGCTGATGCCAAGATCTTTTTCTGCCAGCAAGGGAGCTCCTCTTACCAAGTTAAGCCCAAGGGTAAATGTTAATCAAATGCCTCAAGGAACGGCATGTTGCAAATGTACACACTGTTCAATGATCAGAATCACGAGCAACAGACCCTTTGTAGAAGGTTGCCCCGGTTCATGCTGTCCACTGCTAAGAAACACAAAAAACAGACCTCCAGAAGAGGGCTCCTGTAGAAAAGGTCCAGTGGTTCGCCATTCCGGAAGCCAACAAAGTATGAACAAAGGTCATAAGGAGACATCGAAGAAAAATGCGGAAAGACATAGATCCTGTGAACGTCATTGCTGTCCCGCTGTAAGGAAACAGAGATCAGAGGACTCAAAATCTTTGGAAATCGATTTCTTCAGCCCCATTAACCGCACGCCATCGGAATCGTGGGGGAGTAACGATAGCACCAAACTCACCATGAACCAGAAAAACAGGATCCCAAAGCCAGAGGTGAAGTGCCAATGCTGTCAGGCTTCCATTCCCCGGCGCTTGAAGGACAAGGAGGTGCAGGTGTCAAAGGAGGCCCTACAGTCCCTAAATTCCATACCTGTTAGTCGAACCGAGGCGACTCCTTCGTTCAGCTACCAAACAGCAAGTTTATCCACTGGTTTCTCAGCCGTCACTAACTCAAGTAAAAGTTCCTACGGAGCCGAGCGAAAATATTCAAATGCCATCAATGTGCTGCTTATGAATGGAACCCGTAAAAACGACTACGCTGATCCGTGTTGCTGTCCGGCCAAGTCCTTGGCCCCGCCTCCAGAGATTTGCGTGCAAGAGTCGGACCTGACTGAGTGCAATGAACAGGCTACGTTTCCAGAAATCGACAAGCCCAACTACCGCGTTTGCCGGCCTACCACCACCGATCCCAACGAGATGAACGTCCTTGTTCTCGAAGAAGATCCCATAAGTGGATGCAGCCCCAAAGCCGCGGGAGACGAAGCCACGCAGGATAGAAGTGAAGTGCAGCTTAGTCCTAACCAGAATCAAAGTACGGAACGACAGTACGATTTGGGCAAAAACTGGGTCGATTGCCCGGACTCGGCCAACTACACTAAGGTCCTGGAATTGCAGAGAGTGCGCATCAGGGAGCTGGAGAATCTGCTGCAGCAGCATAACCTGCTGCAGCAGACCATTCAGCACAAGGTGGCCGAGCTGCAGTGCACGGACAAGCCACGTCCTAAAAATGAAACCGAAATTTAACATGATAAGCCGGGAATACATGCTAAAAAAGGTTTTCGTTGTTTTTCCAAGGGTGAAGGGTGGTTTATTCGCTATTACCGCTTGAATTCCAATACCAAACTTTTAGTTTGAACCATCTAAATCAAGAGCTAATCCTTAAGGGTCTAGGCAGCGGTCTGGATGACATCGTTGTAGAGCTTGACCTTTGTGGCAATGCTCATGTCGACGTATTTGTCGCCAATGGAAACAATCAAGCCACCGATGATGCTGGGGTCCACACGGGAGGTGATCTTCAGCGACTCGTTGCCCTTCAGGAAGGACTGCAAAGCAAAGCAAAAGTTAATGGTGATGGAGAACAGAGACTGCAGAAGTGTGTAGCTACCTTGAGGGCACCCTCCAACTGCTTGCTCTGGGAGGAGTCCAGGGGCTTGGCAGTGACCACCTCGCAGACCACCTCTCCGCGGTGGGCAGCCATGATAGTCCTGAAGGCGTTGATCACGGTGTCCAGCTTCTTTAGTCGTCCGTTGTCGGCCAGCAGACCCAGCAGATTGCCGGTGGCCGGAGCGAAGCGCAGCTTCTCGGATGCCTCCTTCAGAGCGGTGCCCATAACCTTCTTGTTGATGATCGGGCTGGTCACACTCTCGCGCAGCTTCCGGTCACTACGGATGGTGGACTGCAGGGCGATAAGGTCCTTCTCCACCTGGTCCAACTGGTTTAACTTGGTGGCGGCCGAGTACAAGGCAGTGGCGTAGCGACCCTCCAGGCCGAACACCTGAAGTGGTGGCTTCACCATCGCCTGGGAGGCGGTGGAGCTGAGGGCTCGGCTCTGCGGGATGACCATAAGAGAGTTATTAGTTAATCCTTCGGTTTAAGAAACATAATAGTCCTCCAGTTTTGTGGGTTAAAGTGGACACAAATTACATAACCAAGAAAAGCTCGTTAGATAATTGTACACTTGCGAGGGAAGCTTCTTCTGGCACTGCTATTATGTGCCGCACCTAAAACGCCATGTCTTTCTTTTGGGCAATCCTCTTTTCCTTGGTTTGTTCACTAAAAACCTACCAAAATTGCTAATTTGTTAATGGAGGCCATCGTTTATCCCGACAATTTTTTCAGCAGCAGTGACCAGGGTTACGTTACTCGTAAGGGGACCTTTCGATACCTCAGGCAGGGTTGCTTGCCGTCGGTGAGTGCTGGGCAGCAACTATCGATAAACAAAAATAGCTAGATTTGTATTTCAAATTTACCCAAATTTATTTATTTTAAGTCCGATTTCCCGAGTCATTAAACCTCTGTAAACCATTTAAAGAAGCTCGTTGCATTGATGACACACGAACTGACGCAGAAAATCATCTTTGACCCTATCGACCCGTTTATTAATAAATAAAATTGATTATCATCGTGCGATTTAAGTCAATTATGCGCCCCTTTTTGTTCAATGACTAGTTCGCAACGAGATGCCAACTTCATAATACCTCAGTACTTCTCTGACAACCTTCTATTTTATTTCCAGAAAGCTAAATTTTTTAATTTTTAAAACCACCCAAGTTTTAATTAAAACAAAGGTTCTTTTTTGTTGTTTTAATAGTGATGTCGTTTGTGTGTTCTAACATTTGTCATCCAATTTTGAAAAGCCAACATTATTGATTTGAACTTCTCAGCAAATTTTTAAAGAAGAACTTAAATGGTGAAAACGACTCGGTGCGAGATTCGATTCAGGTCTTTTTTATTTTTATAGTTTTAAAATTTATTTAATTGTGATTTCTTTTTTCTGTTCTGCTCTTCAATGGAAATACGTACGAATACCTTTTTTTTTACTTAAATCGAAACCTAAATATGTCTGAAATGGTTGCGAATATTACACACGAGAAACTATAGTTGCAAGTGGTTGGAAACACTTTGGGCCTTCGGTTGGAAGCGAAATGAAATTACATACTCGCTGGTTCCAGTTTACTTGTCATCTGAAAGCGATAAAATGTTAGGAAACGATCCTCAAAGTAGTCTAGGTAAAGTTTTTGGTACCTTCATCCTCGTCTTCTTCCTCTCCCTCTCCGTCCTCATCGTCGATATCCTCATCCTCGTTTTCTTCGTTGTCCTCCTCATCCTCGGGCTCCACCTCGATATCAGGTACCAGATAATACTGCAGTGGATTTGGCCAAAGGTCGTCCTTTATCAGTTCTGCGATCTCGTCGTTGACAGGATCAGTGTTATCCGAGAACCAGTCGAAGAAGGTCTTGTACTCGGAGTTGCGCTTCTTCTTGTTACCGTAGGGCTTGGTCAGCAGCTGTTTCAGCAAGTTCTTTCCCTCCTTCCACTTAATGGGCGTGCTGGTAGACGCGGGCCATTCGCCATTCTCAGTAGCCGCTGTTAGTTAATGATGTATAAATGAGTGTTCGGGTTTTTGGGCATTTTCGGCTGGACTTACCCGCTGAATTCAAGTGGAACTCTTTGGTGAGCACCTTGTTCTCGAAGTAAGGATTCTCGTCGAAGTGGAAGTTGATGCGGTAGCCCGATTTAATGTCCTCGAACTCCTCCACCTCCAGTTTGTTAAGGGCGTGCAAGCACTCCTCCTCCTCCTCGTCCAGAATGCCGGATACTTGCGGGTGGTTAATGAACTGCAAGTATGGTTGTTGGGATTAGCACGGGGATGCGAATGCGGCATTTGCATGCAAATCTTTTTCGGACATAGAGCTCTTGAAATTATAGGTTTGTTGGTCCCCACTCAGTGGTTATTTGCTGATGGCAAAGACAGGGAAAATTTGTGTATTTCTCGAACGTGCCCGCCAGACGGATGTATCGATAACATACTTTTTCGGGTGGTAGAAAGAGTGGGGAGCCGGCGGTGGCAGAATTACAGCCCAAGATGAAAAAGAAAAAATTTCTCGAATAGAGAAAATTTCTCGTAGAAGTATGCTAGGCCACAAAACCAATATAGACCATCAAGATCTAGGACCAAAGTATAGACACGCGGACCCGGCAATAATGGCCGCAGGGGACTCACCGAGGTCACCCAAAAGTTGGGAATCCGCTTGACCAGCTCGCTCCGCTTCTCGTAGCACGGCTTCCGCAGCTTGTTGTACTTCTGCTCCACCTTGAGGATCTCCTCGCTGGCCTTTTCGTTCAGCGCGTCAATCTCATTCTGGCAGGCATCGATCTGCTCCAGCGCCTCCGACTCCTCCTCGTTGTTGCCGGCGGATGTGTTGCCATCGGCGGGGGCGCCGTCCAGCTTGGGTCGCTTTGGCACGCTCGACATTGTGCTCGTAATTTGTTAATTTATTTATTAATTATCTCGCAATTTACGAGATATTTGCCCAAAAAACGGCGGTACAGTTGAGCAGAAGAGAAGCGAAGCGGATTTTTACCTAGAGAGTTTGAGGCTGCAAAGTTGTGAGTGTATCGATAGTGGCCGCATGCGGCTATCGCACTATCGCACTATCGATATCGCATATCGATTAACCCACCACCGACGTTGCGTCGTCGCTGTGCAACACTGGGCGGCTAGATTGCAGCGCGTTTTCGGTCCTTTACAACACGCGCGGACAACATTTGATGCCGAGCTGTAATAGCTGAAAACTAATTTTTTAATTTTGTATACGCATCGTTTTCTAAAACATCAGCAACATGGCCACGGCGGAAGCTCAAATCGGTGTGAACAGAAACTTGCAGAAGCAGGACCTCAGCAACTTGGTAAGCAGCCGAAAAGTCGACCGCCAGACGCCGCCTGCTTTTTTCTCCCCTGTGTGAAAGTGTACGCGTCGTCATTATGGAGCCGCTTCCCGGAAAATCAGCGGGGCGCGGGACGCCAGGACGCGCCCAGATAGCCTCAAGCAGGCCACAGCCTGGTTTTCCAAACCATCCAAGTGGGTTTTGCCAGGGCCAACAGTCTTTTGTTTTGGCCCATCGGCAGGGGTGAGAAACATAGGGAAAATGCAGCACGTGGCGCTACATTTAGATACTATTCGGTTTTACCAGGGGCTTGGTCCTGCATATGGGCTTCATTTGTATCTAGGCAAGGCGTAGGTCTTTACAAACAGCTCAGTTTCGCGAGGACAGCACGACTGTTGTCATCCATTTAGCTGATGCAATTCAACCGACATTCTAACCTCAAAATCTACTGCTTTCCCATATACACACATGCAGCTAAGGCGGGATGTTTTGTCGGGGGGCGTGGTGGTGGTGGTAAAAAAGACTTCTGGACTGAATTTCCCTGTTGATCCACCCTTACTAATCGGTTTGCCCATGGCATCTTGCAGGACGTCTCCAAACTTACGCCCCTTTCACCGGAGGTCATCTCGCGCCAGGCGACCATCAACATTGGCACTATCGGTCATGTGGCCCACGGCAAATCCACGGTGGTCAAGGCCATCTCCGGCGTACAGACGGTGCGTTTCAAGAACGAACTGGAGCGCAACATCACAATCAAGCTGGGTGAGTGAAGGATCCGCCTAAGAAACCCGTAGTCTAAGACGTATCTACGTTTCTAGTCTAAGCTAGCCGTATGTTGATCTTTTCTGCTCGCCTGTATACCCGTAGCACCCTAAGAATGTACTGTTCCTCGGCTGGCCGAAGGTAACCGGTCGTACTTCCTACCTCCCACAGATCCTGTTTAATCTTAAGAACTACTATTTAACCCTGTACCGACGACGGCACACCGCGTAGCCAACTCTGTCGCTGCTTTGGATCAAGATACCGTTGAAAAAGCGTTCTGCGAATGATTGCCTCTTGTATTTTTTACTCATGTGTATTTTGTTTACTTAAATTGCTGGATTAGCACGCGTTGCCTTGCCTCTCAAGCTGTGTCGTCGCCTTAGTAGACTAAAAAGAAAGAAATCTTTTTGAAAAAAGTTTATCTAAACCTAAAACCTAAACCTTTTATTAAGAAACTCTTCTTGTTAGCTTAGTCTTGAATTTGATATTTTGATTGATACGACTTATAATCCAGCAATTTAATTAATTGCCAATCTTTTTCTTCTTTTTCCTCCGGTTTTTTTCGTTTACTTCGGTTGCGGCGCGTCCACAAAAAAACCACACAACCCACCACCCAATCCAAAAATGTCCAAAACTTGTCATTTGCAGAACGCTTAAGCGAAAAGAAAATCAGAAAACTGTTGAGCTCTAGGCAGCAGCGACAGCAGTACGAGATCAAGCAACGTTCTTACCTGCGGCACCTGGCCGAATTGCGGCGCCACAGCCGGTTGCGCTGGATCTGCTTGAAGCCAGTCACATCCGCCGTGCTCAACATGGACAGACGATTCAGCCGCCGCAGCAGCAGCCAGGCCTCGCTGAGTCCCAGCAACAGCAGCGGCTATGGCAGCGTCTTCGGATGCGAAGAACATGACGTGACCCAATCTCAGGGATCCACTAATCTAAAGCGTCGACGTAACAGCAGCTCTAGCACACCTGCTCCCAATTCCAAGCGCTCCAAAAACAACCAGGGACTTCTGGTCAAAAAGCCGCCCAGGGGGGAGTACATTGTGGAGCGCATTGAGTGCGTGGAGGTGGACCAATACAAGCCCGTTTTCTTTGTCAAATGGCTGGGCTACAGCTCCAGCAAAAACACATGGGAGAGCCTTGCCAACTTGGCCGACTGTGCCCAAATGGAAGAGTTTGTGGAGCGGCACCAGCAGCTGTACGAGACATATATAGCCAAGATAACCAGTGAACTTGAGGAGCAGCTGGAGGCCTTGCCGTTAATGGAGAACATCAATGTGTGCGAAGTGGATGCCTATGATCCTCTCATACTGCAGCTTGACCTCATCCTACTGGCCCAATACCGGGCGGCCAGCAGTCGCAGTCAAAGAGAGCCACAGAAGATCGGGGAGCGAGCCCTGCGAGGCATGCAGCTTAAGCGAGCTCAATTTTTGCGACGCAAGCAGCTGCTTGACCTCTCCAAGTTCGAGGAGCGCATGAACCTCGTGGAGCAGCCGTCTCCTCGGATACGAGTTGAGAACAACGTGGATCTGGATACCATAGACAACAATTTCATGTACATACAGAAGAACATAATCGGCGCAGGTGTGCCAAAGCCGGAAGCGGGGCTTCTGGGCTGCAAGTGTGATGGTGAGGAGGGCGGAGAGGAGTGCGCCGCCTCTACGAAATGCTGTGCTCGCATGGCCGGCGAGCTGTTCGCTTACGATCGGAGCACACGACGTTTGCGCCTGCATCCCGGCAGTGCCATCTTCGAGTGCAATAGTCGCTGCTCCTGCAAGGCAAGCTGCTCCAACCGCCTGGTTCAGCACGGCCGACAGATACCGCTGGTGCTGTTCAAGACAAGCAATGGCAGCGGCTGGGGAGTGCGCACCCCTACACCTCTACGAAAGGGCGAATTTGTGTGCGAGTATATCGGGGAGATTATCACCAGCGACGAGGCTAATGAGCGCGGCAAGGCTTACGATGATAAGGGCAGGACATATTTGTTTGACCTGGACTACAACACGGCCCAGGAGAGCGAGTACACAATCGACGCAGCAAACTTTGGCAACATCTCGCACTTCATCAACCACTCGTGCGATCCCAATCTAGCCGTGTTTCCATGCTGGATCGAGCACTTGAATGTGGCCCTTCCGCACCTTGTATTCTTCACGCTGCGGCCAATCAAGGCGGGCGAGGAGCTAAGCTTCGACTACATCCGCGCGGACAATGAGGACTTGCCTTACGAAAACCTCTCGACGGCTGTGCGCGTAGAGTGCCGCTGCGGAGCGGACAATTGCCGGAAAGTCCTCTTCTAAGCGGACAAGAACTTCCCATTTTTTTTTTATGATTTTCCTTGAACTACATTGAATTGAATTTTTTTAACACCTAAGTTAGACCTTGCTAGCCATCTGAATGCAGATTTTACTTTACAAAACAGTTAATGGCATTTTAATTATTTATTTGTTAATTACTTGCACTGCCGAATGCCGATTATGGATGGATTTGATCTTTGTTAAGTTTGATCAAGGCTCGACCAGAGAACTAATTGAAAATTTTGTATAAATTGTACATCTAATTTTATACATTTCATTATTTGTATTATTGAAATAGGTTACAGTAGTGTTTTGACAAACACCTTTACAAAGTGCTGAAATTATGTACGGTATTATGTGTATAACTGATTTCAAAATAAATATCTTTTAATAATTAAGTCTTCATTTATTAATAGCAACATAATGTTGTAATTTTAAACCTTACGTATTGGGGAAAATAAAGTAATGAACTGATTCGATATTAAACGTTTTTTTTTTTATTTTTTCACAAAACTATTCTTAAAATTTCGAAGAACGCACAGCCTTATGATCTTTATAATCCTTATCGTCATGCTTCTAGGATACGCCAATGCCAAAATCTACAAGTGCGACAACCCCAAGTGTCCGCGACCGGCCAGCTTCGTATCGGACGCCTCGAGCAAGGACGACAGCTTGCCCTGCACTCGACCCAACTGCTCTGGCAACTTCAGACTGGTGCGTCATGTGAGCTTTGTGGATTGCCCTGGTCACGACATTCTCATGGCTACCATGTTGAACGGCGCCGCTGTGATGGACGCCGCCCTGCTGCTCATTGCTGGTGAGTGATCCAAAAAACTACGGCGAATTGTGCGAGACAAGTGCCAGCTTTATTGGGTTACATTAAATAACAACATAATGTAACCATGTCACCATGTCATTTCCAGGCAATGAATCCTGTCCACAACCGCAAACCTCTGAGCATTTAGCTGCCATTGAGATTATGAAGCTTAAACAAATTCTGATCTTGCAAAACAAGATCGATCTGATCAAAGAGAGCCAGGCAAAGGAGCAGTACGAGGAGATCACCAAGTTCGTCCAAGGCACCGTGGCTGAGGGCGCGCCGATCATTCCGATCTCGGCCCAACTCAAGTACAACATCGATGTGCTCTGCGAGTATATTGTGAACAAGATTCCTGTGCCGCCGCGTGACTTCAACGCCCCGCCTCGTCTGATCGTCATCCGGTCCTTCGACGTGAACAAGCCAGGCTGTGAGGTGGCTGACCTGAAGGGCGGCGTGGCCGGAGGTTCCATCCTGAGCGGTGTGCTGAAGGTGGGCCAGGAGATCGAGGTGCGTCCGGGTGTCGTGACCAAGGACAGCGACGGCAACATCACCTGCCGCCCGATCTTCTCTCGCATCGTCTCGCTCTTCGCCGAACAAAACGAGCTACAATATGCCGTGCCCGGTGGACTGATTGGCGTGGGCACCAAGATCGATCCGACGCTGTGCCGTGCCGATCGATTGGTCGGTCAGGTGCTGGGAGCAGTTGGCCAGCTGCCAGACATCTACCAGGAGCTGGAAATCTCGTACTACCTGCTGCGCCGACTTCTGGGCGTCCGTACCGATGGCGACAAGAAGGGAGCGCGCGTGGAGAAGCTGCAGAAGAACGAGATACTGCTGGTGAACATCGGATCCCTTAGCACCGGTGGACGCATCTCGGCCACCAAGGGTGATTTGGCCAAGATTGTGCTCACGACGCCCGTATGCACGGAAAAGGGCGAAAAGATTGCCCTTAGCAGACGTGTGGAGAACCACTGGCGGTGAGTGCTTCCCTCAACACTCGCTCTAAAATCGCTTTTAAAAATGTAATTCTTCCCTTTCAGTTTGATCGGCTGGGGTCAGATCTTTGGAGGCAAGACAATCACTCCCGTTTTGGACAGTCAGGTAGCCAAGAAGTAGAACTAAGTTAGGATCCGATTGGTTCTACATTAAGCAGCAAAACACCAGCGACAGCAGTAGCAGCATCATCTTTATTAGGCCTCTTTGACCTGCTTCTTTTTGTCTCCCCGCTCCATCCTTCCCGTGTCCGTTGATCAAACCGAAACAAAAAATAAGTACCAACAAGAAATACATACCTAACTTAATTTATTGAATTTTGTTGTAGAGTATGTATATAAAAAGAACACACACGTTTTGCTGACGAGTGTTGTGCATCTATAGCAGAATCAGGCATAACAAAAACAACTAATAGGATATACCTTACTTATTATATTAACTAAAGGCAAATCTGATGCATCGTAAAATTGTTTTTATGATTTAAATACAAAAGAAAAACGAAACAAACAAAAAACACGTAACAATTGTATTGCATTTTTACAATTAAAACCTCAAGAACTGACTTCTTATTTTTGGGAATATTGGTAAGGGGGTTTACTTTTGAAAGTAATATCAATCGCTTTGCCGAAGCCCACATTTTTCTAGAGTGAGGCTAAAAATATTGCCCATAAAGCAGAGAAAACAAACATTAAGTTTTCATTATAGACCAATTTATTTTTCCATTTTAGTTCAATTAAATTTAAATAGTTACAATACGATGTTTGTTCAATAACACATTGATACTCGTAATATTTGGTTGTTTAAGCAATTATTCATACAAATCTCAATATCGTTTTTGAAACACGATGCCCGTCGTTACCGATTACAGTCAATCAGTATGCCGCATCGACATCAATTGTGTTGAATAATTTTTGAAACGGTTTGGTTTTTTTCGATTTGGTAAATTTGTTTTAACTATCGCACACTAGTTTAATTTTAATGTATTTTTTATATTTTGTAATTTTAAACTACTGTTATCAAGAATTTTTTTTGTTATTTTCGGTTTCTTGAGACTTTGTTTAGTAGTAAATATAGCTTATTGAATAAAAATTCGTACTTAGCCGTGATGTACATATGTTGTTTTTGTTTTGCTGTTGAAATTAAATGTTGATAAATGACACTCTAATAAGTATATTGAAAAACGTTTGATTTCATTCTTTAATACTATTGAGTAATTTCTGTAATACTTGTAATTTCAGTTTGCTAAATTACTCCCCCGATTTTGGGGGACACGATTGCGTTGTGGTCAGTACACGCTTTGAGCATTTGATAACAGAGTCGAGGTTAAGTCTTCGTTGAACATACAATATCCGAACTTAAACAACAAATTGTATAATTCATTCCTTTCGGTATATAGCTATTTTGAGCATTTGTTGAACACAATACAGTTTTCAGGTCTGAGATCGATTACAACCAAAAGCGGAACAAGAACCGTTTACGAACAAGTTTTTGCCATCATTTTGCCTTTAGAAGTGTGGGGAAGTTACCTAAACTAGGATCGAACTAAGATAAATCAGATAAATTTTTGTGTCTATTTGAGTATCTTTGGCTCTAGTCTAAGTGAAGCTTCGACTAAGTGCTGGTTTGGTATGATTACGACTAGTTTTGAAAATTGATCAAATCAAACCATCCTTTCCCGTTTTATTTTTTTTTGGGACGCCGCTCATCTACCTGTATTCCATATAATTATAATTATATCGAGCTTATATCGTTGGCATTAGACTGTCTAGGACCCGCCCGATTCAAGAAACAAACGTAAGTTATTCTCTAGCAAGTCCTTCGTTATCGATCAAGAAACCATCTAATGTCTATTAAACCCCACACAAAAACGATTTGGAAACGATTTCTTATTTCTAATATACTGACATAGTTTCATTTTATATGGTACATTTATTTGAGTTGGAAGGGAAAATAAGGGAACAATTTCGAAGTTAGATCGTTTATCCTCATGCCGACATTTTAATAAGCGGGAATGAAATGGCAATGAGCTTTGAATTCAAATTCGTATCCTAAGGTTTCCTCTACATATATTTATATATATGTATGCATATGTCAATTGGTTTATCCTAGAGTTCGTATGTGCAATGTTTGTGCATTTCGGGAATGAGCAGCAGGAAAATACCTTGAATTTTGGTCAGCTTCCTTTTCTTAAATGTAAACACTTACAATTATTACATTCATTTTTTTCGATATTACATACATACACAGTTATTGACAGTTAACGTTGGCAAAATGGCAGATGGCAGTAGGGTTTGACATCTTAATGATCAATTTCATTTATGCTAAGTATTCAACAGTTCCGCTAATATCCTCATAATGCATTGATTATAATTGATTTTTGCCCGGCCTAACTCGCTTAGCCTATCGTTTTATATCGTATAGTACAGATTCAATTACATACATACAGAGATATACAGGTGCATAACAAACACGCAGATTTACATGCCGCTGTTGGGTTGAGTATCGTCATGGTTATAACTAACAATCATTTGGTAACCGTCTACACATATTTTGTTACATAACTGTATGCAGATTAAAGTACGCTTAATATGTCTATATACAGGATATATCTCGTATTGCAGTAGCAATTGTTTGGTTAAGAACCTAAGTTTCGCTCTTTTCAAGCTGATTTGCCTTCCGGGTCGGGGTCATTGGTTGTGGTTTTTTGGAGCCTGCGTTTTCTTTAGGATGCTCTTCTGGCCGGGGATTTGGCATCTTAAAGAAAATGGCTTAAATCTCATTCGTTGACATCCTCATCCGATGAGCTGGCAGCGGGTATCGTCGAGAACTGCCACTTCTCCCGGTTGTTGTTCTTGCTATAAGGTTAAGAAGACCAGAACATAAAAGATCAAAAGGATTTTATTTAGCATTGATTATATTTAAGTTCTTAACAAAATGTGATGTATTTAATTAAATTGTGATACAAAGTCTATTACAAATGTGAGTCCGATAAAAGTTTAAAGATTAAAAAAAAACTGGGAAACTTTTGGGAAAGTTTCATGAAAATAGCTTTAAAACTGAGAGACTAGTTTGTAGAAACGGATAGGACAGATCAAATCACCTCATGATGCTGATTAAGAATATATATACTTTATAGAATCGGAAATGTCGCCCTCACTGCATTGCAAATTTCTGACTAAAATTATAATACCCTCTGCAAGCAAAATAGGCTTCAAATGAAAAACATAAATTACACATTAAAAAATAGGTAATAGTGTTATTTTATGATTTAGGGAGTAAAACTGAACCGGAAAATCAATGTTCGATCTCTGGAGGATTTTTTCGATTTAAATTTGTAAGCATGTGTAACCAGTCTTCAAAAATTTTACATACCCATGCTTTTTGGAATTGCTGGGTAGAGTCTGTGAGCTGCGGTAGTAACTGTCGAGCGGCTCCTCCTTGGTCTCCTCCAACGACTTGCGCTGCAGCGTCATTGTCTCCTGCGGGGAGGTCGAGGAGCCGCCGTTGCTCATCTCCGCATCCAAGTAGTACTTGGCACTCTGGGCTATCTTGCAGTTCTCGCACTCGCTCAGATAGTCATCGTCCAAGCTGGTGTCGTTGGGCAGGAAGTGCTCCTTCGGATTCAAGCAGTTCTTCGACGTTGTGCACACTGGAAGCTGCTTGCTGGGCGATCGACCACTGGATCCTCCGGCGGTTGACTTCGGCGTCAGCGGATAGCTGGGCATCTGGCAGTGGGCAACGGCCAGGCTCGTGGCAGTTCCTCCTCCTCCTGCCGATCCCGGTCCAGTGTCCCGCTTCACGCGCAGGATCTTTGGCAGTGTTGTGCTTTTGGCCGGAACTCCTGTCTGCCCCGGATTGTTGCTCTCCACCGGAGGAATGCTGATCACCGATGGCACCTTGCTGACTACACTGTTGATGGTGCTGTTCAGCGACACCTTCCCGCTGATGTGTTTGGGCAGGGTGTAGGTTACGTGATTGGCCAGCGGATAGAAGGTGCTGGAGTTGATCTTGCCGCTGGTTAATTTCTCGCCGGGTCCAGAGGCAGGACTCGCCGGCGGCAGGGTCAGCGAGGGCGTCTGTTCCTTGCGCTGGCCACTGGACGACGGCTTGCTTAGAGTGTAAATGGTGGCCACGGCGCTGTTGTTCCCGCTGCCTGACGAGCAGGAGGAGGAGGATGTGCTGACCACGGTGGCGCTCTTTAAATTCGTTAGGCTTTTGTAGAGTTTCGGTGGTAAAGTCGGGTTGCTCGGATCTGGCTGCTGCTGCTGTTGCTGGTTAAAGAAATGTTGCTGCTGTTTCTGCGTCAAACTCAAGTAGGCATCAACCTGAAAAGGATAGGAGGATTAGCCCAGGGGCCAAGGTAAACAGAAATCGAGGAATGAAACCAGAGATATTTCATGTGTTCAACCGAAAACCAATCAAGTCCCTTTCCAATTTCGCCTTCGATCTCATTCCCCGCCATGTCAAGCTCTCACAAAGGGATTACTTACATTTCGAACTCACCTTTCGATTCAAGTAGGCGCTGGAGAGGGAGTCGCCGCCGCCGCCACCACTAGACACACTGCGTCCACCACTGCCACCTCCGCTAGAGCTCCTCCCTCTGTCTGCGGAACTGCTGGAGGATCGTTTCTGGACGCGTCCCAGGACAATTGGTGGGGCCGAAACCTCTTCGGGATGCTGCAGCGGCGGCGGTGGAATGATGGCCGACACATTGACCCCGCCTCCAGATCCCGAATGCGTATGATGCGTCTCATCGCCCACCTGCTTGGAAATGGTGGCTATCTTGGGCTCGTGTCCACACCCACTACGTCTTAAAGTTCCACCACCCGAAGCCGCTGCCGTGATCAAATCCTGTGCTTGCTGTTGTAAATTCGTCGAGGACTTGGCTCGCTGTCCATACGATAAGGTGGCCGCATGACGAGCTCCACCAGTGGCCGCTGCTCCTGGAGACAAGGAGCAGGTGGGCGTGGAGGTGCTGCTGCTGCTCGAGTTTCCCGCGAACAACTTGCCGGCTCCGCTCAAGAAGGCATTCGCGTTGGCCGTGCTACCCATGTAGGACATGGGCACGTGCTGGATAGGGCACTGGCACATGGGTTTCTTGCTGGCCTGCTGTTTCTCGCTCGTCGAGGTGGCACTATTGCTGGTCTTCGGCTTCACCTGGAGAGGATCGGCCACTGCAAAATAGCGTGGTATAGTGCGATGATAGCGTCTCGAACTGGAGGGTGTCTTGTTGATCTGTTGCTGCTGCTGGCTGTTCTTCAGGGTTCCATGCATAGGCATCTGGGTGGTTTGGGTCACCGAATCCGCTGTGCTGCAGGCAGGCGCCGCCGAGATTGTGGCTATCTCCAGAGGCTGCATCAGCTCCATGGCCGGCGAGGAGATGGCCGCCAGGAGATGATGCTGCTGCTGCTGTTGCTGGTGGTGTTGCAACACCTGCGAGTGGGTGGGTGTGGCTAGGAGCTCTCCACTACTGGCCGGAAGTGAATGGTAGCTAGCCGCACTGGCGCTGGCATTGATCTCCACATCGGCCACCGTAAGATATTGCTGTTGCTGCTGCTGCTGCTGTGGTAACTGATGAAGCAACTCCTGGGATCCCCGCGGCGTGGTTCTTCTTCCTGCCGTATAGGCTGCCGAACTGGAGCTGGCTGCAGCAGTGGTTACACTGGCACTGATGTTCAGATGGCAGTTCTTGTAGCTACACTCGGCGGAGACCGGTGGCTTGGGCATGGTCTGAAGGCAAATGGAGCCACTGCTAACCGGAGGCTGGACTAGATGCTGCTGCTGCTGCTGTTGCTCCAAACTGAGTTGGTGGTCGCTCTGGAGGCTGTAAGGCGGCTGATGATTCTCCCCAGTGGCTATGGTGGTCACCCCGCCACTGTTTATGTTGATGTTGATCAGGTTAGTGGTGCTCTGGGTGTACTGGTTGGATTGGGGCAGCACCGAAGCCGCGGAGTGTGGGTGCGGATGGGCTACCAGCTGTTGGCTGTAAGGCTGGTGATGCTGCTGTGGTTGGGTGTGCAGTTGCAGCGTGTGCTGTTGCAGGTGTTGGTGAGCCTGCACCTGGGCCTGCATCTGCTGCTGCTGTTGAGCCTGAGCTTGGGCTTGAGCTTGGGCCTGAGCCTGGGCCTGGGCCACGGCCTGCTGCTGTTGCTGGCTGACACTGGCCACCGCTCGTTGGGAACTGGCTGGCAGGCTGACGGTGCATTGGGCACTTAATGCCTCCGCCTGGGAGATGGCCACAGCCTCCTCATACGGAGGTGGAGCCTCTCCACGCGGAAAGTGCGGTTTCCACAAAGGATAGTGGGTGGCAGCGCCCCCATAAGAGTAATCAATGGCACTCAGATTGCCCTCCATGTAGCCCATGTTTCCGGCAATGTAGCTACATCGAAAAGGGTGCATTAGAGAATCTAAAAGGCAACGGTATTTGAAGGACACTCACCCTATGCTGCCCACTATGCTGCGCTGATCCTCCGCATTCTGGCGGTTCTCACGCGCCCTCATCTTGCGCTGCCGCAGGCGATTCACCAGGAAGAAGAGCAGCGACAGCGACAGCGTGGCCGTGATGCCACTGGCCACCAGTCAAATGCCGAAGTCGGTGCTCCCGTCGCTGAACTGGTCGTCCAGGCAGATCACCTCGCAGCAATTGTTGCCGCTGCCCACCGTCTGGAAGGACTTGCACTTGCTGAACGCCTCGCAGAGCACCATCTTGCAGGCCTTGGGCAGTCCACTGTCGCAGATGCACAGGCGGCAGGAGTCAGGTCCTGGCATGTAGTGCATGCCCGTCTCGTACATTTTTCCATTATAGTCGCGGCAGGAGCCTCCGAGGCTCGAGCTCACAGCGTTTCCATCTAAGTGAGGAGAGTATTTGGTTAGTACTTATGTGAGTCAGAGGAATCAAGTGGTTAAGTTCGCGGACTTTAATTGGAAAAGGGACAGATTTTAGCAAAAGCATTTGTTATGATCAATTTCATGTTAAATAGTAGCTTTTCACAACACCCAATGTATTAACAAAGATCTAACAATTTGGAGACTTTAACGAAATTGTTAGTTTTTAATTTGACACAGCCTTGTCATTTTTAGATGTTTTAAACAAATACCTACAAATCCAGAAGTTTTTTTACTGCTTAAAGTTTTGAGCACTTGGCTACTGTCTTTGAGACTATAATGTTTTAAAAAAAAAGTTATTAATACAGCTCGGCGAATTAACGATTGCTGAATTGTAAAGCACACTTTTTGGCGCTTTTCTTTTTACAGTTTCATATTTTATTTGAAAATTTAATAATAAAAGAAACGACAATACCAGGAATTACAAAATTATAAGAAAGTTAACTTTTTAAACAGTAAAAATACCTTTTTAAAATAAAAAAATACTTTTCTAGTTCTAAATAACTATCTTGTGAATAACCAAATAAATAGGTACATCCTTGTACGTTGGTACATAAATACATATGTATGTATTTACATGTCATCCGTTCCATTCGATGCTAGCTAAATTCTTTATTTTGACACACTTGACCAACTTTCGCCTTTGCTGATTTAACATTGCGCCACCAATCACACATACATGTAAGCATTGCCAAAGTGCAGCAGGTGCTGAAAATTCTCCTTGCAAAGCGTGGGCAAAAAGGATACGAGGAGAAGTGACGAAGGACCACAATATTTATCACTTGAATGAAATTAAATGCAAACGCATAACATTTTCGACATCATTTAAATGCTAAACAGCAAAAGGAAATTCAAATTAAAAACAAATATATGTACATGCACACACCCCCGCATACACACACGAACATAGATTGTATACATAGGTACATGCGTGTGCAGCAGGAAAGCGAATTTCTGGGCAGGAAACGCACGAACGAAAATGGCAAACTGGCGTGCGTTACACCCCCGCAACAAAAAAAGTGGAAAAATATCACATATAAAAAAAGTTTGCCTTTTATTCGAGAGTTTCCAAGTGAAACTTGCGTTCAAGTGTGTGTGTGCGAAAAATACATACACGCGAGTCAAACGCACACCCAGTTCACACCCATACAGAGGAGGTGAGTATACATGCAAAAAATAAACACCATACCCACACACCCACAACAACCTCCCACCAGCCTACATACACTGACAAACTTGCATGTGTGTGTGGCCACACACGGAAAAAAAAATCACAAAATCAAATCGAAATGCGCAGGTCAAATAGATATTTACATTCGTATTTCCTATTGAAATGATAATCATTTTTACCTAAGAAGGCATATAAATTATTTTAAAACGTAAAACATCTTTATAGTAATTAAGATCCTGTTCTTAAACCCATTTTTAAAGTTATACCACTTTGTATATTTCACGCTGAAAGCTAAATACAATATTAAAAACATTTAAAATATATTTTACATATTGAATGGAATGCGCATAGCTGGTCCGAAAAGACAACTGAAACCAACAAATTGGTAATTTTATCTTATAAATTTTTCTTTCTGTGCAGAGCAAAGCGAAATTTTGCAGGCCACTTCCTTCGTTTTGCCATTTCCATTTCGCCCCCATTTCTTTCTCGCTCTCTCTCTCTCTCTCTGAAAAAGAGCGAGCATGTGGCCTGGTATTGGTGAGCCTGCCAAAGCCTGTGTGCTTGTGCCCCGTGTCCCATAAATTGTGAACTGTGTGGCCATGGACCATATTTCCAATTATCGCTGAAGGAGCTGAGCAATCGAAATTGATTTTGCCTGAAAAACCTTGTATGTTTCGCTTTCAAAGAGTTTATCCTTGGAAAAATTGAAGATTTTCACTTAAAGCCAGGAAATGGGGCTGAATTTGCATGTCCCTGTATTTGTGTGTGTATGTGTATAAAATTTTTCACACCATTTTCCCCACTGATATCCGTTACCTTTGGCATTTCCAATGAACGCAAGCAATGCCAAAAAATACATATTGCACACGTTAGTTAGCACTCAACACGCCACAATTAATTGAAACTTGCTGATTTTGTGAAACAACTTTTATTCAAGTATTTTCAACAGTTTTTTTGCGAACGTTCGAGCAATACCAACAACCACCGACGACAACGAACCGAACGGGAGTTTTCGCACAGACGTTACGCGCCAGGGTTGGCTTCATGGACACCGTTATCGTGCCTGTCTGCAAGGAACCAGTTCCAGGGCTTCAGAAAAGATTGCGTGGGAGGTGGAACGACTGATTTGAAATTGTAACGGCCTTTTAAGGTGATGAAAAGACATTTGGTTAACTGACTTAACACTCCTCTGGACTCAGGAAACTGAAACCTTTGAAATATCGTATGACATATTTTATATTTGCAAATGAGATCATTGTCTTTTAGGATATAAGCACACATGTGTATTTATTTTTTATTTATTTTATTGTGAATATAGTTACTAGGCTTACTTCTTGTTAAATCCACATAATGTTTAAGGCAAGACAAAAAATTACTAATGTTTGAAAGGTTGGTAGATAAATTATAATTACGGTGGCTTTGTTTATAATGTAGTAACAAGAACACAATGGCTTTGTTCTTCCAGGGGACGTTTTTATATTTTTCAGTTCAGCCAAAAGATTTGTATCTACTTTTTGCTTAACTAAAATATGTAAAAACGGAACCCCTCGATTTTATTTTAAACAATTATTCAACATCATCTGAAGTTTCCACAATTTTGCAAATTATTGGAATATCGCCTACATGTGTTACGTCATTATCGGATGGCTTCAGACTTTCGCGTATAAAGTCGTTTTTGAATTTCTTCCAATCACAAACTTTTAAATAGTGGGCAAACAGGGCTTCCCTTGAAGGTATCATACAATCCATGTACAGAAGCCTGCGCTCCCAGATGTTGCCAGGATTTTGCTTCTTTTCTAGTAGAAAAAACCTGGGAAGGGTCAGACACTGAACCGTGGTTCTGGCCATTATCACTCGGTGCTCCATTGTCTCGCCCAAGCCGAAAATTCCTCCAAAAGTTAGAGTACCGACATCGATGAAATGACTTTCGACAACGGGTGTCTACAATGAGAAACTGAAGAAAGTTAAAAACTGCCAAATAAATTATATTGTTCTAAGACTAAGGGTATAATTTTGAGTGATGAATTCTTCCGTGGACTTACAGTTGCACAATTACTGCTCGACGTAGATCTAGAACAAGACGATGAGCAAAAATCACTGTCATTCTGATCACTTTCATCCTTATTGTAGACAACAGGAGAAGTATGAAAAGGCGCTCTGAGCTCAAAGCTCAAATCTTCTGTATCAGATGAGCTTATTTCTATGTCATCTTCATCTTCGCATATCTCCCAAAAATTCTCGTAAATGTCTTCGTAAATAAAATCATTTTCGGTTTCAGAGAATACTGTAATGTTTGACTTTTGATTTGAACGCCGCAATGTAATACGTGGTTTAGGCGTCGGTAATGATTTGACCAAACCACATGCTTTTTCAATATCTCTTAATTGCATTTTACGCATCTGTGTGATTGTTTAGTTAATAATATACATTACAATACCAGGAACTAAATTTAAATGTCTTGTTGAATGGTATACTTTGTATAAAACACTAATATTTTTGCCTGATTACAAAATGTCTATTTAATGTGGACGACTCACCGTGCGATTGAGTGTAGAATTGTGTTCATTTTCCTTGGAACTGGTACTCGAACTCTCCACAATACCAACTATATCTATTTTCGAGAGATTCTCCGATTTACTTGGACTGACCATAGTGGATCTAACGCCTTGTCTAAACATTTTCGACACATCGCCCGCAGCCGTTGGCATTAGTTGAAAAACCTTTTTTCCCTTTTTCACGCTTACCTAAAGTAAGAAATATGGTTAGTTTTAATAGTACCCACTTATGTTCAATTCCGATCTGCTAACACTCATATTTAGGCATTGAAGTATCAGACATTCTCCACTGAGCACAAAGTGAACATTTGTCATGGAACCTATGTCGTCACAGTATATGGTATCCAACGGATGGAATTGCTTTAGCCTCCCGAATCGGCAGGCTTCCACGATCTAGGTAATATTTGCAAAAATGTAGTTCAAGTAGATAACATTTCGATAAAAATGGCAAGTAGTTTGTTAAACGTTGCATGTTGCCATTTGTTGATTGTTGAATGGAAACAGGGTAAGGCAGGGATGGCTTTTCTGAGATTGAGTATTGTGTGGGAAGGAATTAAGTGTACTTGCCTGGTCATCGTCGAGAAAATCAAAGTAGTCCAGCGCCTTGAGGGCCCGTTTCTTCTCGTCCCAAATCTTTGTCATGTGGGGCCCGAGAATCCTCACAAAGTCATAGTCGAAAAGCACCAGCAGCTCGCAGTAAGCTGTAAAGTGAAGCGTTCAATAGCTACTAGCGATTTCTCGAATTGGGCACATCGGCTGCGGCCCGGACTCCATGGAGCAGTGGCAACTACTGGTGCTGGTGGCGTGCATCTGTTTTTAAAAGATTGCCAGCACGCGGAGTAACAGGCACAACAGCCCAAAAATCAAGCCACACGACTGCGCCAATGGAAGGCGGGTGTTGTTTTGGGCCAACCTATATTCGACTGAATACCGGGCGATTCCGGTTCTCGGGGAGCTGGCACGTGACGGACTCGGGCGGAGGGTATTTTGTTATTCATTTTGATTGAATCGAATTAGGACTTAACGTTGTTTATTGCTGATTAAATTGGTGGGTACAGGCAATCGCAAATGAAGCAACAAAAATCAACAACTTCCCAATAAACACAATCGTACCTATCGCGTGCTTGGGCTATGTATTTCCCATTTATTTCGACATGAGTCGCAAATGTTGCAGTTTACCTAAGTAATTTTCTTATCATCTTTAAGTGCGATAAAATTGCCAAAAAACGGAGTAGCACCTAGATTTGCTTTGCTAAATTTTCGCAATTTTCTTTGCGCAATATCCAGTGTTTGTATAAAAATATTAATTAATCAGAAAATCATTAACCCCTGCTAAGCTTTCTTTAGAATTGTTTTTAAACATAACTGCAATTATCGCCTGTACTCATCTTTGAATTTTTAAAGTCAACCAAATAAAAAAACCATAAAAAGGTATTTAAAATATGGCAATTCATTTTAGACCCATGCTATATGCTTACTTGCTGCTCTAAAGGTGCATGTACGTTTGATACCCTCTATCAGCTCAACATCTCCCATCATATCTCCAGGGCCGAGAATGCCTTTCACCAACTCATCTTTCTCCTTAAAAATTAAAGTCAACTGCAGAGTTATTGCAAAAAATAAATGCATTTTTACCATGTCGTTGTCTTCAATCATATGCACTTCCCCGGATATTACAAAAAACACGGTTATAGGCACATCCGATTGCCTTATGATAGTTCGGCCCGCATCAACAGGCATCAAGCGGAGCACAGGAACTAAGCGTGCGCGTAGTTTCTGAGGGGATTCTGGTCACTTGTGATCCTACTCAAGTTGAAACTACCTTACTGGAGTAAAACAAGTTAAGCATCTTAACTTGGCAAATAACGTACACAATTTCATTCTATCCGGAATGGTGCGTCTCACGTGCGGTGTGCGAATTATTATTTTTTCCTGCAGTGTAATAACAAATCTCTTATATTACATTTAATATATATTGTGAAAACATATAATTACCGCTGCTGTGAGGAATCCTGTTCTGGGCCGTGCCCGAACCCGAGTGGATATATTCCTCTTAACGTACGAAGTTACCTTGTGGTCGTCATCGCTGTCTTTCCACGGATTATTTAAGCTCACCATGCGAATAACTTTTTTAAACAACGCCTTAAGAGCCTGAATTCTTTTGACCTCTGCAGTATCCCTTAAACGCCTATACATGTCCGCAAGTGTTAGCAAATATGAAGAAAAATAGAAAAATGTAAGAAAAAAAATGATTTTAGTTCAATTTCTATGACATTATCTGAAAATAATTTCGAATTCTATCGTGTCAGAACGAAACACTGAAAGAGGCTTAAGACCATTTCACACAAGTTGAGTTGTACCTATTATTTTAATTAAAATTTTTTGTTGTATTGGTGATTTTATATTTTAGTTATATTTATATATTTTTAATCAATTTTGCCATTAAAAAATGTTTAGAGATAAAAGTATGATTGATTTGCTAGTGATGGATTTTTCAAAAAGTCAATCTCATGCGATTAAGAAAATTATTATTCATTAAAGATCGGCTTTTGTTGGCTTACTTTTCAAAACGTATAATCATAATAACGTATGATGATGTACCCCCTTTTTTTAATTGGGCAACTTGGGAGAGTGTTCCTCAATTTGCTTTGACATACATTTGGACTTCACTGATATTCACATAAAACATACCTTAAAGTTTTATTACTGGTACCGAGTATCTTTTAAATATATTAGCAAGAGTATTTCAATAAATAAATACTGCTACTTAAATACTACTCCCCACGAAACATTCGGAGTTTAGGTGGCGCCATCTGTCGAACTATATTGCCAATACTAGAAGTGGTGGATACACCCTACATACAGGTAGTGGAGACACCGTCTGCTGGTAGCGGGGACATAACCCGCAGCTATCGAAAAGTTAGAGATGGAAAAACTTTGGTGATTCCCTAACAACCGTCGATATTACCGATGTTTTGAAAACATCAATGTTCCTCCACCTCCAATCGTTATTAAAAGGTTGTTTTAAAATAGTCGCTTGTATTAGTCGCTTGTATAGCACTTATTAAACTTCAAATGGATGCCAGTGTGGAGGAAAACGCTTCTCATCAAACGGAACCAGAATGTAAGGTAAGTGTGGCTGTAAATAGTGGATTTAACTCTGATGAGCAACTCAAAACTTTCTCTTTTTTCAGTTGGCCAAATCAGAGGAGGCCGAGAAGCCATCAAATAGCATTGGCCTGTTGCCGGTTATGATTTTCCTGGCGGCCACGGTGACCACAGCGGTGATGGTGGAACTCCTGCCCCATGCCAGCAAGGTTTTTCCCTGGAGTTCCTCGGTTTCCACAGAAGACCAGCAGCAGCCACCGCCCACCTATGCGATCTTTGGGCGGAGTCCCACGGAGGAGCATCTGGTGCATGTGGTGAAAGTGCTGGAGATGTTCGGCTACCAAAGAGTGGGCGTCAACGAGAGCTGGAACCTGCTGTGGGCCCACGACTATCCTTTTCTCTCCCTCTCCAGCCTCAAGAATCTTGGCCAGCATCAGGTGGTTAATCACTTACCGGGCTGCGGCTATCTCACTAACAAGGTGGACCTGTGCACCACCCAGCTGCCATTCCTGCCACGCGCCTTCCGCCTGCCATCGCAGAGGGAGGAGTTCCTGGACTACGCCAGTGATAATCCGCAGGCTCTCTTCGTCCAGAAGCACAACGAACACCGGCACATCAAGGTCCGAGCTCCCGCGGATATTGCATTAGGGTCCAATGATTCCTTTGTCCAGGAGTTCGTCCAGAGACCCTTCCTGGTGGATGGCCACAAGTTCGACATCGGAGTTTATGTGGTCATCACCTCTGTGAATCCCCTGCGAGCGTACATCTACTCGGGCGACGTGCTGTTCCGATACTGTCCGGTGAAATACCATCCCTTCGACGCCGAGAATGTGGACAAGTACATTGTGGGGGACGACTATCTGCCCACCTGGGAGGTCCCTTCGCTGCGGAAGTACTACAATCGCTTTGGTGGCAGCATGCGCACCGTCTTTGAAGCATATGTTCGTGACCAGGGCATGGAACCGGCCAAGATTTGGCCTCAGGTGGAGCACATAATCCGCACCACGATTGCGGCAAAGGAGAGGGACATCGTCAATATTCTACGCTCGTACAAGACCCACAACTTTTTCGATCTGATGCGATTTGATCTGTTTATTGACGAGGATCTAAAGGTTTTCCTCATGGAGGCCAACATGTCTCCTAATCTTTCTTCAGCCCATTTCAAGCCGAATTCGCTTTTGTACGAGCAAGTTCTGTACAGCGTTTTCAATTTAGTGGGCATTCGACCACTTACTGCAGCAAGTGGCACCATGTAAGTAATTGTTATTTAACCACCCGATGAGTCGTAAAATGTATTTATTTAAAGGTTTGGCGAAAGCAGTGAGATGATCACGGCCGATAAAAACTTGGCCACTGACCTGAACAAATGCGCTGTCTACGACTGCGACAAGTCCTGCAACAGAGAGGAATGCCATCTTTGCTTGCAATGCCTCAGTGGATCGGAGTACAAGATGCTACAGCAAGCTCATGAGGAACACCTACATCGCGTTGACATGAAGCGCATTATTCCTCAACCAATTGTACGTAGAATACTTCAAATGTTCGGGAATTCTAACTAAAATAATCCTTACCTTCAGCACGACCTAAAAAGTTTCCACATTGTGGAGGAAACTGCTAATATGACGAAGAGAAACGCTTGGATGACCCGCTGGTTCTATAACAAATGCCAATTTGATGCTGCCTGGTGCAATTAGATAATTTGAATGTAAACATCCGCTGTGACTTAGTAACCTCATATGCTCAGCATTGGTAAATGGCCACCGATTGTACTTAATTCGACACTGATAAATGTTAATGCCCAATGGTAAAGAGTGCCTTGCAGTCATAGGTAATCAGTTTTATTTACTATTTATAGAATATTAATCTAGAGCTCGTTTTGCTCTTAGGTGCTTTAAATTGACAGCTAAAAAAATGTACAAACCAAGAAAACCGTCCCTAGATGAATTCGATTCCTTAGCTCTAAAATAACATAAGCAAAAATGGCTATCCTTAACTTTATATATTATATAAATATATATATATATATGGTAATGAATTAACCTGTTAAAGAATAAAAAATAAGTCTTCCAGTTTATTATGATCAAAAATATATCAATATATGTCATAAAATGACAGCTATTTCGTTGATCATTAATTTATTTATTTTCAAGAAATAAGAATCACTTAAAAAGTACCAAATCTTTAATTTCGTTGCCAAATATCACATTGCTAATGGTCAAACCCGTTGTTGCGGCAGGTCATTGTCCAATTCCACGAGACAAGAGGGTCCGATCCGAGCTGGAGTTGTTGCCAGCGTTCTCGGCCATAATACCTTCATACCTCCACCAATATCGACGACTGTGGCGACATTGGCCGAGCAGAAAGGAACGTTAAAGCGATGCCGGCTTATTGCTGCGCTGCTGCAGTGCCTGTATTTGTGCCTGTACGATGGCCCGGCGTACACTTATTGCAAACCGATAAGACGCGAGATATGTCAATGTCAACATAAACATAAGCAGCGGAATAAATACACATGGGCAGTGGCAATCAATGCCGCTCTGGTCGCGCAGAATCGCGACCTCGTCGCAACCCGGGCCATAATCGGAGCTACACGAGGAAATGTCAGGTTTGATAAAATATTGGCCGGCACACATTCTTACTCAGAGTGGAGAGCTGTGCGAGTGCTTTAGTCCAGACCGTGAACCAGGGACCAGGGACCAGGGACCAGAGAATAGATGGATGGATGGACGGACTGGACATAAGTCCGAGTCGCCAAGTCGCCAAGTCGCTGAGCGAAGCTGAGCTTTTTTGTCGAAATGGAGATGAAGACGACGACGAAGACGCTTTGTCGGCAATTACTTGTGGCGGTGTGAAGCGATGGATTTATTGCCCCAACAGCTAATCAACCAGCTGAATTTATCGCTGACTTCATTCGACATTTAGAGGCTCCATACGTTGTGCATTAGTTGTGATTGCGCCATGGGAAAATAAAATGCGCAGCTCCATACTAAAGGGACACTGATCGGGGATCGACTGATAGGTGCAAATTGCTGCTCGATAAAAAGTGGTTCCCCCGAGCCCAAATCAGTGCAGGTTCCACAACATCTCGGTTTCTCTGAACTTCGGTACTTAAAAGGCATTTGAGCTTCCGTTTAACGGTCAAACTCTGCCCCCTATCCCCCAGTCCCCTATCCCCAATCCCCTATCCCCCATCGTGAACCCCATCTCGATTCCCCCGGAATACCGGGCGTAAACAACTTTTTCTCTGTTTCGGCTGCGGTGCCATCGTTCCGTAATTAATAGCGGCTCATGCGTGGCAATTTAAATAGCCGCTAATTGTAACCACCGTCAAACAAAACCAGTTAAAATGCCAGGAAATGGCCACCGTGCAATAGGTAGAAGGCAGCGCCATATAGCCATAGCCATCGCCATCGCCATAGCCAGAAGCAGCTGCCGCTCGCACTCCACTCCACTCCACTCCACTCCACTCCACTCCACTCCACTCCACTCCACTCCACTCCACTCGCACTCGCACTCCTTTCCTGAAATTTGTAATTTTGCTCTTAATGCCGGCGCATATTTCATTTGCATCTCGGAGCCGAGAAGCCAAGAAACCGAGGAGCCAAGAAGCCAAAGCGCAAACCAAGAAGCTTAGGCAACTGGCGTAAATGAAGTACTCTGCAGGATGCTAATGTGCGACCATGGGCGAACTGGTTCATTACTTCTCTCTTGGCTCATTTCGAGCTTATGCTTAACACCGAGTTGGCTTTATGCTTTAGAGTATATTGGGTAGGTTTTCGGTTTAGTCGGTTTCGAGTATGCAAATTCCTCGGCACCAACATCTGTTCTTCGTTAAGGTCGTTACCTTGATGACACCACCGTTAAACGAGAGGACGAGATCCCATTATTTCTCATGCATACGCTCATTGGCTCGTAATCTGATATGCGTACTTAAGTTTCCATTAAAAAACTGATTGCTGTTAAGCAAGTATTTCCTCGGGAAGTCAGAATTTTTTAACTCAATAAAGTACTTGATTCCATTGCAAAATCATATATGTACATACATAGATTTAGTTTCTGCCCGGCCTAACCAGCGCACATCTTTTTTATTTAAGACACTGCATGGTGTTGTTTTTTAGTGCCGAAATCTAAAGTTTTGGTAATTTGAGAACCACATGCATGCATAGTACTGAGTATAAAAAGTCTTTTAGGATCTTGTTGCTCTAAAAACTTTAATAATATCGCCGTAATAGTGCAATACAGCACATTCTGTGCACCTAGTAAAATCACAGATCCAAGCGGCTTTTATTGCATATGCAATTCATGAAGATGAGGAATGCCATGTAGTTCGGCATTCTAATTAAAGTCATGCGGCTTAATGCTGTTTTTATAAAAACAATTTTGTTTTAAGTAAGCATCTTGATGCAACTTAGCCCCCTGATTGCTTGGAAAACTAGTGATTACCTGAATAGTCGCAGTAACGGACGAAATTGGAATTGCTTGCCAGATAAATGCGCGGCATAGGATACAACTGGCTGATGCGATTGGGCCGATGTGATGATGCATCTTGGCCGCACCGCACAAACAAAGAGAGCTGCAAGGGACTGTGACTCTGACTATGACTATGACTATGACTATCCGGTTTAGTGGCCAAAACTTGGCGGATGGCAAGTTGGCAGTGGCAACTGCGATGCTCATGGCCTGGATCAATTTCAATGCCTTCTTGCATCCGTTAGGTGACCTCGAGAACTTCAAAGAATTTGAATAGCTATTGAAAATTATGGTGCATGGATGAAATGGCCAGCGGCCAAAGAAAAGTGTTGGAGCTGCCGGTTCCCATATCCCACAGTCTGTGGACTCGGTCCGCTTGGTTGCCACTCCAGAGCTCCAGAGCTCCAGAGTTCCAAAGTTCCAGATCCTTGTCTTCCTCCACACAGATGTACTCGTACGTATGTACATGCACTCTCGAGTGTACTTACTTGACCCTAGACGGTTGGGTTCTTCCTCTTGCCTTCCCTGCGAGATGAGATACTTTACGCTATAAGTTTATGCAGATAAATGCGCCAACGTCTTTATTTTGCAACTAAACAAGGGCAGCAACAGAAACTTTTTTTGCGATTTGACATGGAGTTGAATTTTACATATTTGTTGGAAGATTGGAGATGCACACATAGGAGGTATTTTAATAAAAAGTTCAAAGCTTGCACAAAGTATTTATTATATTATTTATTATATATTTTATTTTCTATTTATGTTTAAATGTTTTTAAGTTTTTTTGTAATCACAAGAAATATTTAAATACAGTTTTAAAGGGGTGTAATATATATTTAGTATTTTTATAAATTCTAGCAATAGTAGAACCCTTTGCTAAAAACAGATCAAGTTTAGAAAAAAAAACTAGTATTTTTATTGTATTGCTACCTAGATGAATTGGTCGCTTTAAACCCCACATAATCATAAATGCACCCATTATACTTTGCACAGGACTAGTGCCAAAAATGGGTCGAGCCCCCAAAAAAAAACTCACTTTCGGACGCAATATTGATCTATGTTCATTGCCAGGAGATCGATTAAATATCAGGCGAAAGGGAAAACGCAGCAAAAGCCACCCGTGGCTCCAGTTTCGGATTGGTTTGGCAAACGCCACCCCGCGACCACCCACTCGGCAGCGGAAAACATGTGCCTATTGACAGAATATTGACAGAAGCTATTTCACTTTTCGGGGTGTGACAGACATGCCGGCGTTGCCTTTGCCAGGGCCTTTGCCTTTGCTCATTCTTTTGGCGTTACCGTCGACGACTGCACCACCCCCACCAAGTACACAGAGAAAAAAAGTTTGATATAAATTTTAAATATTTTAAACATTGTAAATTGATTCACATAAGCGAGCGTCCATAAATTACGTACTGAATAAGCAAAGTTTGATATAAAACAGTATTCCTTATATTTTAAATATTTTAAAAATTGTAAATTGATTCATATAAGCGACCGTCTAGTAGCCTAGTTTAAACTTAAGTTTTCACAGTCAGTATAAATAAATATTACTTACTGATTAATCGAGATTATATGTTAATTTTATACTTTTAATTGTTGATTATACTTTTTAATTCTTTTTCCATAAAGTAATAATTATGTGGGGTAAGAAGAGATAGTAAATAGAGAAAACTATGGTATACATGGACAGTCTTTAAGATATCATACTAGGCTGGACCTTGCAGCATCGATCTCAGTCTTAATGAATTCGTGTTTTTTAAGCTTAATAAAAAAGTTTTTTCAGTTCTAATATGAAATTGAAATGTTTAAAAAATATAGTTCATAGTTTTTTTTATACATATCAAACTGAAAGCCTGCTAGCACAGAGAACATATTTAAGTAAAATCTTCATCATCAATTTTTTTCTTCTTGTGCTGACCCACCTGAAATGAACCACCCGAGCAGCCCAACCAACCAACTTGCGGCGAACTGGAGGAGGAGCAGTCGGAGGAGTTGGAGTCCAGGGGAGCTGGGTTTCCGACTCTGCCAAAAGTTTTGACTGCGATTCAATAAACAAACGGTATTATTAAATAATGCGCTCGTTTCGCAGCGTCGCAAGTTGGCCGAGAAATCGGTTCCGCTGCCCGATTTGTCTTATGCAGGCGAGTGCAAATGGATTAATATCCCATATTCCATATATCGCAGGGCCCAGCCCAGCGACTCGCCGCCAAATTCGGCGCGGCTCTGAAGTTGAGCGGCGCTCCGCTCGGAGGTGTTTTAATGAATGTTGCCAGGATACAGGTGCCAGGTGAGGCCATTTTGTTATTTTTATTTGCTTTGACAGTCGGCACTTGAGCACCGGAGGAATCGGTGGAATCGGAGGAATCGGAGGAGTCGGAATCGGGCCCGCAAAATGTATATTGGCCAGTGTGCGAAAGGCTGAACAAGCGATCGGAAATCCCGCCATGCGGACGCCTTTTGCCAACTTCAATTTTAACTTTTCGCCGGGCTGCAAGTGCGAGTGCAATTGCCCGCCATCGGGCATCCA